AGAGGCCCTGAGTTTTATAAATATGAGCATGATAGTGTAGGACAATCATATCCAAGGACCAGTGGTGGGTTTCAAAAAAGTTTGGAACCTCTTCTGTAAGTATGGCCTGCTTTCTGGGTCCACTGGTGGAACCTCTTCTAACCGGTTCGGTAGATTTGACGAACCGGTTCTACCAAATAGGTGCGAACTGGTAGGAACCCACCTCTGCCATGAAGGTTACCTCACTTCTTTCACAATGTGGTAAACTATCACTGGACATTGAGTTGAGTGCAATCCTAGACTTTCTTCCTGAAAATTCTGTTCTGAGAACTTTAAATCTTCTCGTGAACTCTTGGCACACTTGGGAGAACTGTATTCCTTTCGAGGAGTATCTATATCCATTTTCAAGTAATAGGTTAGGTCTGTAATTCCAGAATAAAAAATGAAGGGAAAAAAGGCAAGTGCACTCATACACACTCACACGGGGGGGGGGGGATGAATGTGTATAGCCAAGTTGTTTTATCAAATAAAGACCCCCTCTCTAAGAAAATTACAGTGCACTAGGAAACACTCCTGCACACTAACCAGTGAAACCAACAGGAGATGTGCTCACTTCCACTGAGGTTGCAAAAGAGAATTTCTGGAGGATGCTCTTGTGCAATTTTACTTGGTGCTCCAATATTAAGTTGGGGAAAAGGAAAATCCGGTGTGTAAGATCTCATTGCTTCCAAAGATGCCCTCAGGCAAGCTGACCACAACCACAGATGGTTGATCTAGGAAACAGATCCAGGCATTTACTTGTAGGGCAGTTATAAAGATGAGTGAGACATTCCACATTCTTTGTATACTCAAAAGGAACAAAAGGTTACAGTATTAAGGGAGATTGGGTTGAATGGGATCTTAGTCAAATTTGATTCCAATTTCCACCCTTGTGAAATCATGACTAACTCATGTATTATTTCAAGATTTAGGCAAGGTTCTACCTGCATTAGAACCAATGTATTAAATTCCATCTTGATCTAACTATCTGCCTTTTCCCATCAGCATTCAACCAAGCATTCATTCTTCAGAAATGCTTTTCTCTTGGCCTTCCCCAGCTCTCCCTCCTCCCCAACCTCCCAGTTCAAATCTCACCTTTATTGATCTGGCATTCATACTATTTCATTCAAGATGCAGGGGGATTGTGGTTTGTTGGAAGGGGCAGGGTGGGGGCAATCTGCACACATTCAGATGCAACTCTTCTCATCTGCCAGTATATTGGACATCAGAAGTATGTTGAACCAGGTTAAAAGTCCACCTAGTAATCTTATGTTTTCCTAAGTTTCTAATCAGATCTTTCAAAACAAAAATAAATTAGGCATGGTGGTTCTTCCATGTTTTAAAAAAATCAAATCAAATCAAAATGAAATACTTAGCTTTGGACCTGGAAATTTCATATATACCCTATGACTGATCATCACTGATAAAACGTATCCTTCATAATGTGCTTAATACCCTTTTTAAAGCAATTACCACTTCTTGTGGCGAAACATCCCATGAGTTAATTATGCAGGGAAGAAATCCTTTCCTTGGTGGGAGGGGGTTGAGAAATTGACCAGCTATTCTTTTAGCAATCTCCCCCCCCTTCCCATTGGCCCATTTGTGTACTGAGGAGGATGCTAGACTAAAAGAAGGAGACTTGAGTTCAAATTCTCACTCAAGGAGAAATGCACTGGGCAATGTTAGACCACACACCTAATAAAAGTTGCTATGAGGATAAAACACCAGTAACAGGAAAATCATAACTGGAATCTTGGATTGAAGGGTGTCAGTTGGAATAAAAATACCAAGAAAATTTTGACAAATTTTTCTTTTACAGTATAATGTATGCTGATTTCATTGCACTTTCATTTCCCCTTCCTTACATCCCCACCCCCTTCCAGTTGCTCAAGAATAGGCTCAAATAAAGCCAGCAGGAGTAGAAAACCCACTAGATGACTCCCCTATAAAGGGGGGAAAGAAGAAACTTTAAGATTACAATTCCGTACCCTGAACTAGGAGAAGCTCTTTGGAATTCAGTGGATATATATATTTAAGCAGGCATGATTTGTGTTGTAAACAATCTTTTGTTAACTGTATTAAAATAAACTAGGATTTTCTAAAGATCAAAGAGTCCTATGCTTTAGTCTATTTGGGCTATGGGTAGATGAGTTTCTGAACTTCCAGGACTTATCCTTACTTAAGTGCATACTTAAGTCTTTGGTGTGATGTCATTCTTAAACATAAAAATAGGGGGGGAAACCAAGACATGCTTTATTCTTTTTAATATGAAGGAATAAAATCCTGCCACAGAGCAATTGTTCTAACTACTCAAAACCTGCCTATTCTAACAAGGAAGAAAATTGATGTCACCTGTCACCCATTTTTTAAATATACTACATCAACAAGATGCCCCTGAAACGGCAAAAATCAGCTTTATGTGATTGGAAGAAAGACTTCGGATCAGGCAGTGATTCCTTAATTCAGTTGTATTGATGGATTTCCTTGGGGGAGGGCGGCAGAGAGATAGAGAGAATTAAGGAACATGGAAATCGAACCCATCAAGGCAGAGTTTCTTAATTGTACACTGTTCCAGAGAGCAACAGAGTTTCATGGTCACCCTGAGTTTCATACAGCAGACCAGGGCTTTGTTAATCTTAGCAAACATAACCTGGCTGGGGCATTCTGGGAGTTGAAGTCCACACATTTTAAAGTTGCCAAAATTGAAAAGCATTGCAGCAGACTGATGCTCATGGATGTACTGTAACTACAAGACTCCGTTCTGGAACTTTTAGCTCCAACACTTTTCAGTCACAAGTTCACTTGCCATAGAACAAGGAAGGGCTGTTGTTTGGGGGGGGAATAGAAGGAAAACTGTATATTGGGTATTTCACTGCCTTGAGCAATGTTATAAAAATAATAAATGTGGGATATAAATTAAATAAATAAACAAACACATAAATCCCTCATCCCATGCAATGTGATAGATCTCATAGAATAAAGAGAAATGATACTTCTGTGCCCCATAGAAACTGTAGAAAACAACTGAAGGCATAAAATAGGATTTTCCAATTTTGAGTTGGTCAAATATGTTGAGTTTGACTAAGGAAACACTTGAGAGTTGAAATTCCACACATATGGAGCACACTAGAATGAAGAAAAGTGCTATAGATTTGAAAAGCTTACCACTCTTCAGAACTCTCAGTGATGCTACACCTACTCTCTGGAGCAGTGTTTCTCAACCTTGGCGACTTTAAGTCCTGTGGACTTCAACTCCCAGAATCCCCCAGCCAGCACAGCTGTGCTGGCTGGGGGATTCTGNTTGGTCCAGAAGATGGAATTAGCAGCAAATGTTGGATATCAGGACAGGGCTTTGATTTAAAAAATAAAAGTCCTCTATAAAACAACAGACAATACTCCTATTTGGGGTTTGGGGGTTTCCCCCCCCCCCAAGTTCAAATTTCAATCCTCTTTCTCAAACAACTCCCAAGGCCATTGATGGCTTTTCTTAAAAACAGAACAAAAATCATGATGTCCATGCTCAATGTCTGTGGTGCACACCAGTGGTGGGTTTCCAATTTTTTTTTTTGCTCGTGCACATGTGCTCACACGCTCGTGCGCTTGCGCAATGCTTCTGCGCATGCGCAGATGCATCTGGGCAGGTAGGCGGAGCCTACCACCACCGCTACTACCAGTTCACCCGATCTGGGCCAATCCGGGAGCAACCCACCTCTGGTGCACACCTGTGTGACCACACATCAGCCATTGAACATCCACACAGAAGACTCATTTTGCCACTCCGTGTTAAAGATAATGCACTAATGAAATGTGTCTTTGCAAATCGGTAAGCAAAGAGGGAGAGAGAGAATCAGGGAGAGAGGGGAACCTTCTCTCCTTCAGGAGCTGGCTGAAGCCTGGGCATCTTCTGGTAGACTCCAGGCTGAAGAAGGGATGGACCACTAGGGGGTGAGGGGGATCAAAGCAAGGGGGAAAAGTTAAGGAGAGAGAAGGGGAGGAGAGGGTCACACTTAGGAGCTAGGCTGAAGAAAATGTTACAACAGTGTGATTTTTTGATCCCATCAAAATGTTAAAGCACATAGATCTGTACAAGATAATGACAATGATATTAAGAAACATAAAAACCACACAACTTTTGAAGTTATCACGACTAAATTAATTATTGAATTTAGACTGCAACTAAGTGCTAAAGAAGCCTGTAGCCCATAGGCTAAGAAAAACATTTTTCTTACACTGAAGATAGTGCTGTATAGTATGACTGTCACATGCAGAAACCAAATTTAGTTGTGAATTGTGCTGATCAAAAGTCATGGAATTCATAAAAATTGACTGCCTAAGGAGAAATTGCAATAAAAAAGAAGAATCCCTTGTTGAGGAAGTCTGCAAGGTATGAAGAATTTAACAAGGCTATGGATAAAACATTTAGTAAGGAAATCAAATACTAATATGAGTTCAGACAAAGTCAAGGGTACAAGTGAAAAATATTCATTGACTGTATGGCTTGCCATTTCCATGAATGCTTCAGTGCTCTCTTCAAAACACCCACAATCACATAGCAAATTATACTACACTTCCAAAAAGATGGGGCAGCAAAAGTTATACTTTGGAATTTGTTGAGTGTATTAACCATGTTGTCTTCCAAAATGTGATGAATGATATTGAATGCTTCTTAATGGTAGATGAAAGTAACAAGATTCCAGTTTGTAAATTGTGGGTTTTATCTATCACGTTTGACTCCTTCAATACTAAGAGTTACAAAATACTATTGTATTTGCTGTAAAGATGCAGGTGATTTTCACAGTGATTAAATCATCCATTTTTGTGGTTGTTTTTGAATCATTCTTGACTCCTGCTGACTGCCTAAATAAGTCAGTTTTCTTGCCTAACTTCCTAAATGAAAGTTTTCTTGGAAATATTTTCAGAAGTGGTTTGGCCTTGCCTTCTTCCTAATGCTGAGAGAGTGATTGGCTCAAATTCACCCAGCTAGCTTTCTGCCTAAGTCAGGACTTGGACTTGAGGTCCTTTAGTTTATATCCTGGTGCCTTAACCACTACACCAAACTGGCTCTTTAAACAAAATTCTACACTGATAACACATTAAATTGGTAAAAGATGATGATGCTAGGTTCATTTGGCAAGGACGAAAAGTGAGGATTAAACTAAAGTCAATGCAAGATAGCAAGGAGAGAGGAGGTTTAGCATTACCAAATTGGGAATTATACACATTAGTAGTAACAATAACATGGATGAAAGATTGGATAGAGCTAAAGAAAAACAGAATTTTGACCTTAGAAGGCCATGATCTACAAGCAGGTTGGCATACATTCCTATGGGATGATAAACATAAAAGGCACAAATACTTTCAAAAACATTTAATTAGAAGAGCGTTATTGCAAAACTGGTTCAAAATCAAAAAAATCCACTATGTGAAAATCCCGAATTGGCTATCACCAACAGAAAGGACGATCCATCCAAATTTTATAGATATGAATAAAATGCTAAGATACATAATTGACGGACAGGGAAATTTAAAAANCTGTGGACTTCAACTCCCAGAATCCCCCAGCCAGCACAGCTGTGCTGGCTGGGGGATTCTGGGAGTTGAAGTCCACAGGACTTAAAGTCACCAAGTTTGAGAAACACTACTCTGGAGCAAAGTTTAAGCAGTGGCAAGAAACCAGCAGTCTTTGGGGGAGGGGGGTGTTCAACACTCCAGCACTATTGATCAGTCCCATTTCATTCAAAGGGGGGGGGATAAGATTATATCATCAATTATTATTATTTTAAATGCCAGACTCTCAAAAAATTATTTTGAGCGAAGCCAAAGTTTAAGGGTATGCTGTCAACAGACTGCATCTGAAAGCAAACAGTGGAACTAAAGTAGAAAGAAATAAGAAATAATTAGGGGTGAGAAAATCTGGGGTTTTTTTTCTTTTTGATTTTTTGCAGCTGAACAAAGAAATAGCAAGGATGCTCTTTGGATAGCAAAAAATAATAATAATGAAGGCCCTGGCTAGAGAAGAGTTTTGTAATTTCTGTAATTAGTGATCACAACTGGAAGAAATTTTAATTTATTTAATATCCCTTGATTAATAATGCCATAGCCAATGTATATACCTAGGAACAAGGGAAATTCACATGGATTCTGTACAACTGAGCTCTAGAAAAGTATCTACTTCAACTTTGCTGTGGCATCTGGAGAACTGATATAAATTATCTGAGCTTCAGTTTCTATGGCTAAAAGCCTACATCAGAAGAATGCTGTAGAATATATTAAAGATAAATGAAATAAGCATGGGTGTCCATACATACAGTGTTGTTATTTGAGCTAAATTTCCATATCCTTTGGCCTGTTCAACCAATCTGGGAAGAATATACCTATATTGCAAAAATAAGCATCAATTGTAGCTGGGGAATGGCAACTCTTTTTGGCCACAGAAGGTTAGCAAGTCTTAAAGGTCATGGATAAAACCCAAAGGTTGAATTTCCCCCTCAACTTTGCCCCCAATTCTTTTGCCCGGCCTTTTCAAATGCTACAAAATCAAGAGATTTGGCTTGATCACCTGAATATTTGTAAAACAAAAGCATTCCTCAACCATCCAGCTAAAGAAAGAATGGCCCATTGGAATGGAATGGGCGGGAATATTCATGCCTAAGGCTTCCTGTATCATCCACCTTCCTGGATGGGGTGTGGGGGGTGGCTTGGCCCATTGTCTCCAGCCATGGATTGAGCTATCTGCCCTCCATCAACTCTTTGATTGCTTTACCTCCTTCCCCTAATCCACTCCTTGATCAGACAAGGGTTTGGTCAGGGGAGGGGGAAATGTGGGTGGAGAAGGGATCCCAGCTCTTGAACTTGATTGGAGGAGGAAAGCCAATGGTGGGAAGTCACGAGCCAATGGCACCCCAGAAGTCCCAAGCTTTATAAAGCGTAGCGCACTGGGTGGACAGCACAGGATCCCCAGAAGAGAGACTTCCCTGCCGGTTTTGTCACGCCTGGTAAGCATGAGAAGGAGACTCGGGCTATGGGGGGCGCTCGCTGCTTTGGAAGACTTTTCCAATTGGAAAGGGGAAGCACGCGGGAAATTTAAATTCCTGGAATTCTTAAAAAAAAGGAGCTTTTGGCGGTGGGACGGGAGGTTGCAGGGACGGTCCCAACAGATCTGCTGCTGGGCTCGTGATCTCCGATCTCCCGAGCACGTGAGATCTTTCCAGGCTTACCTATCTTTTGACCTTCCAAAACTATTTATGGGGGCCGGGTGGAGTGAAGGCAAGCTGGAAGCGGAAATTGGTACCCTTGGTTTGGGTGAACGGGAGGAGAGAGTCGGGCCAGCAGATATGACATTTCTTCTCTCTTTTTTTTACCCCGACCAACTTTTCCCCCCCTCAAGACCGCTTCAATGTCGCTGCTGCTTGAATATTGACAAGACTTCAGACTGCAAACGCCCCCAGTTCCTGCAAAAGTTCCTTCGACGGCAGGAAGGATGCGAAAGGTGATACAGAGCCGGGCAATTTGGGAAGCGGGTGGGTGGAAGATCTGGGGAAGTGGCAAAACCCGAAAGCCGACCCCTTTTTAAGTTGGGTTGAGGGCCACGTGGCTGGAGTGGTCAAAGGATCAGCTTTGTGGGGCGAGGGAGTTTCTTGGATCGGTGCTACATGGGTGGAAAGATTTTTGGGCCCCCGGCCATCCAGCTTACTCAACCTGCAGATCTGAAACGGGAAAAGAGGCATTTAAAACGGAGGAGTGCGGTCCTGCGCATTTGAACACCTTTTTCCGCTGCCTCGACGCCACCAATATAGTTGCACTGCCTTGTAACCTTAAAGAAGAAAGTGCTTCCTTGTATTGGCGTCGTCTTGGTCACGTTGTCTCCATTGCTTGCCGGGTGGTGGGGGGAGTGTTGTGTGGGGTGACTGTAGCGCGTCATATCCCAGGAAAGGGCCTTCCCGTTGGATGTTTTTAAAACTTTTAAAACTTTATGCCCTCGTCTAATCCAGGTACCTTGAGCCAGAGCCATCCGCCCGTCCATTGGCCACCCAGCCAACTTAAGTAGTACGGGTTCGTTTCGGGTTTATCGCCCCTAGTGGGAGAAAACGGGTATGGCGGCCTTACGCAACTTTTTTTTTTAAGACGGCCAAGTCGCGCGTACTTTTGCTTCGTCCGTATTTAGCAGCGGCGGATTCGCACGTGTGTTAAAAATCTTTCAACCGTCCCCGTGTAGGCGACCTTTCTGAACCGATGGTAGAATTGCATCGCGCCATTGGGTCTCAACAAATTTTTTGAGTTGCGGGCTGAGGTCAACCACGGACCGCCCTATTCGCAGGACTCTCCCAAATAGGCGGCCTGCGGGGAAAACGCCGCGGCCGGGATCGTTTTAAATCGTTTTTATTTCGTAAGTTTTGACGAGCTTATAGTTTTTTTCCCAGGAGCTGAATCAATGGGTGAAAATGTTAAACCCAACGTGGCCTCCTGAAGCCCACGCAGACAGTGGCACTTTCTTGTAGTAATAAATTCAATTAAGTGCTATATTGTTTGTGTGGGATTTGGGCCTGGCAGAACTACAAACCCAGGCATCTTTAAGCTTCTTTAAACTGCAATGGATAAGAAATGCATTTAGTTTTTATGTTCTCTAAAATAAAGTCTTTTTCTTCTGTCTGCAGAACTCTCCAACAAGCCAAGAGAAGTCTCCCATGATCCATCTTGCTGACTGAGCCTTGCCCAGATATGGGCACTTTCTTTTTTTCTAATCTGGAAAGTGCTTCATTGTTTGGGTGAAGCTCCGGCTCAGGTTCCCTCCAAACTGGATTGTGTCTTTTCTGGTGTCCCATCTTGGAGATCTTCACAGTTCCTGGAGACAACTTCACCAGGAGTCCTTCTGTGTCATATGCGCTCTTAAGTGCTCCGTGATGAAGTGGTTTCTAGGTGGCTCACACAGCTATCCTGGACTAACTTGTCTTAAACAACCTTCTGGCTGGGTGCAGCTCAAACTTTAGCACTTCCATGTGAAGCAACTCTGTAAGTGCTACATTGTTTGGGTAGCTCCCAAATCAGGATTTTCCAAATGCATGGAGAGGAAATATTTTTTCTGCATACTTATAATAGCATATGCTTTTATTAAAATACCTTTTTTTAAAAACCAAATTGGTTTTATAAAATTTCTGATCTATAATATGTTAAATGTATTGTATTGAATGAAAAATGTTAAAACTGTATCCTGTATAATGTTGCAAGCTATAAATAAAATTGCAATAAACTATCACCTGTGTTTGATTGGTTAAATGCTCATAGATACCAAGGGGGTAAATATGAAGGGTCTCTTTATTTTCAGTATTTTAACTTGTTGCAGTTGGGGGCTTGCCACATTCTAACTTAACTAAAGCTTATTCCATAATTTTTGCCACTGGGAAAATGTTCATAACTACCTATTTCTAATGGCTAGCCCACTAAACAAACCTCCTTTTGACTTTTAAAAAGTTTAACAAGCAACATTTCATAGTATGCATTATACCCTTCCCCATCAGTGTTGAGAATTCCTACTATGATAGCCTACATATTTTAAGGAAGACTAGTTTAACAAAGTCTTTTGCTTTTTTGAGTTTAAAAATTTACAAGAGAACCAGATGTGCACATGAATGGGAAATATTTTCAAGACAAAATTGGTGGTTTATCTTTGGATAACCCTCTTAATTTCTAGCCACCAAATTTTTTGAAGATGTAATATAATATGTACAAGGTATCCAATTCTGAGCAATGGGATTTGTCACTTCACTCTTGCCAACAATCCCAAACTTAAGTTAATATCACCAAATTAAGTGGATGCATATGGTAAGCTTCAGATTTGTTACTTGTCACTGCCTTAATCTAGGAATTAGGCAAATTAATTGGAGGTGATTTCAGGTGGTCATTAGAATCACAATACTTAATTGTTCAAAAATAGTAAACTTTAAAAATGCTTTCAAGGTTGTAGCCTTGAAAGCAAATTTCTGCATTAGATTAATTATAAATTACTCAAAAGACCACCTCAAGCTGAACACTAGATGAACTTATAGAACTATTAAATACATCAGAACAACTGTCTCCGTTCCTTTTATCTCTTGCCTATTAAATTGCTAGAAATTTATAATGTCTTGGGAGAATCATATTGACATGTTTTTAAAAGCAGTTTTAAGTCATTAACATGTTTTTTAAAGAAGTTTTATCTGGCAATTTTTATCTTTCATGAATTGAAAACTGGAACATCACAACTCCCCAGTCCAAACTTACACATGAGTTTTTAATAGATGTCATTTCAATCCTATTGCTTGAAGAAGCTTTTTATACCACAAGATCTTTTTTCTCAAAAAGTCCAAGCTACAGCTGCTCTTCTGGTAAGGGACTATCCAAGAGCTTTTTTTCTTTTGTTTAAATCTGGTAGGGTTGCTTAGCTTCAGGAAGGAAACAGTCCCAGTGTTCTTAAATCATTATCATGGCCTTCAGCACCTTCTTTTTTTCTCTTAGTCTCTCCTTCTCATACCTTGCATCCTTTCAACCAGGCAGACAACTCTAGACCTTCACAATTTTCTCTCCAACCCATCCTGAGAGCAAAGGAGAGGAGACTCTTATTAGCAAATTCAACCTAAGCAAATAACACAAATGGCAAGACTACAGTTTACCCTTTTTGCATATTCTCAAATCAAGAGCAATGCAGTTGCAAAGCCCAATGAATGGCTTCTTGAAGAACACTTAGCTGTTCAACCCAAGAAATGCAAGGTGGACAGGTCTTTCTATCTGCTTCACAATAATTGCTGGGCCAGGCAAAAGGAACTGCACATGCATTCATGCTTATGACATGCAGTCATCCATGCCTTGCATATAGCACTCGTGTCTGACTTTACGCAACCCCCTCAGTCTAAGCAGCAACATTAGAAAGAACAAGGAATAAATGAGTCTTCAGTTCACCGGAATCTTCTTTAAAGACCACTGGATTCCCACTGTAAGAAACAAGCAATTTTAAGCAGATAGGAAAGAAGACTAATGTAGCCATTATAGGTAGTCCTCATGTAATGACCACAATTTGACCCAGCAACTCAGTCATTAATGAATCAGTCATTAAGTGCAACCACAACTGTGTTTATAATCTTACTTCAGTTTACCTTTGCATTACAGACCCCAAAAAGGTCCTAAATGTGAAGATTTGTCACAAAATTACTTTTGCAACACTCATAACTGAACAGCCATTAAACAAGGACTACCTGTATATTGATTGTGGGGGTGCAAAAATACCAATTTCTTTGAGGTTAGTTCTGGTAACTACTTGTGTCCTTTCATTGGTGGCGCAGTGGTTAGAGTGCAGCACTGCAGGCTACTTCAGCTGACTGCAGTTCTGCAGTTCGGCTGTTCAAATCTCACCGGCTCAGGGTTG